CCATGCTCATCGTGCACATCCCATGCTCATCGTGCACATCCCATGCTCATCGTGCACATCCCATGCTCAACGTGCGCATCCCATGCTCATCGTGCACATCTCATGCTCATCGTGCACATCCCATGCTCATCGTGCGCATCCCATGCTCATCGTGCACATCCCATGCTCAACGTGCACATCCCATGCTCATCGTGCACATCCATGCTCATCGTGCACATCCCATGCTCATCGTGCACATCCCATGCTCAACGTGCACATCCCATGCTCATCGTGCACATCCCATGCTCATCGTGCACATCCCATGCTCATCGTGCACATCCCATGCTCAACGTGCACATCCCATGCTCATCGTGCACATCCCATGCTCATCGTGCACATCCCATGCTCATCGTGCACATCCCATGCTCATCGTGCACATCCCATGCTCAACGTGCGCATCCCATGCTCATCGTGCACATCTCATGCTCATCATATGCATCCCATGCTCATCCTGCGCATCTTGTGCTCATCCTGAGCATCCCATGCTCATCCTGCTCATCTTGTGCTCATCCTGTGCATCCCATGCTCATTGTGAGTGGTAGCGCAAATATCAGGATTACAGAGGTCACAATGGGTCTTCATCAGTCACAACTGGACATTGTTAAACGACGAGCAAAATATATTATTAATTTCATATTTTACAGTTATTTCCTAAATAGGTAATGTACACAGTACAGTACGGAATACAGTCTCAGTACAATGATATCTTATTACCAGTGGTTATAACCGGGTTACAGTCTCCACTATAACAACAGTTTATTCATCTAGATGATGCAAAATGTGGATACAACTTCAAGATTTCAGATATCGTATTATTAACAGTGAGGTGCTTTGGCATATTGTTAAATGGAAGTGTGTCTGGAAGGTTGGATGTTTGGTCACTAGATATAATGTTCCAGTGTCTGGAAGGTTGGATGTTTGGTCACTAGATATAATGTTCCAGTGCCTGGAAGGTTGGATGTTTGGTCACTAGATATAATGTTCCAGTGTCTGGAAGATTGGATGTTTGGTCACTAGATATAATGTTCCAGTGTCTGGAAGATTGGATGTTTGGTCACTAGATATAATGTTCCAGTGTCTGGAAGATTGGATGTTTGGTCACTAGATATAATGTTCCAGTGCCTGGAAGGTTGGATGTTTGGTCACTAGATATAATGTTCCAGTGTCTGGAAGATTGGATGTTTGGTCACTAGATATAATGTTCCAGTGTCTGGAAGATTGGATGTTTGGTCACTAGATATAATGTTCCAGTGTCTCGAAGGTTGGATGTTTGGTCACTAGATATAATGTTCCAGTGTCTGGAAGGTTGGATGTTTGGTCACTAGATATAATGTTCCAGTGTCTGGAAGGTTGGATGTTTGATCACTAGATATAATGTTCCAGTGTCTGGAAGAATGGATGTTTGGTCACTAGATATAATGTTCCAGTGTCTGGAAGGTTGGATGTTTGGTCACTAGATATAATGTTCCAGTGCCTGGAAGGTTGGATGTTTGGTCACTAGATATAATGTTCCAGTGTCTGGAAGGTTGGATGTTTGGTCACTAGATATAATGTTCCAGTGTCTGGAAGGTTGGATGTTTGATCACTAGATATAATGTTCCAGTGTCTGGAAGAATGGATGTTTGGTCACTAGATGTAATGTTCCAGTGTCTGGAAGGTTGGATGTTTGGTCACTAGATATAATGTTCCAGTGTCTCGAAGGTTGGATGTTTGGTCACTAGATATAATGTTCCAGTGTCTGGAAGGTTGGATGTTTGGTCACTAGATATAATGTTCCAGTGCCTGGAAGGTTGGATGTTTGGTCACTAGATATAATGTTCCAGTGCCTGGAAGGTTGGATGTTTGGTCACTAGATGTAATGTTCCAGTGTCTGGAAGGTTGGATGTTTGGTCACTAGATATAATGTTCCAGTGTCTCGAAGGTTGGATGTTTGGTCACTAGATATAATGTTCCAGTGTCTGGAAGGTTGGATGTTTGGTCACTAGATATAATGTTCCAGTGTCTGGAAGGTTGGATGTTTGGTCACTAGATATAATGTTCCAGTGCCTGGAAGGTTGGATGTTTGGTCACTAGATATAATGTTCCAGTGTCTGGAAGGTTGGATATGTTTGGTCACTAGATATAATGTTCCAGTGCCTGGAAGGTTGGATGTTTGGTCACTAGATATAATGTTCCAGTGTCTGGAAGGTTGGATGTTTGGTCACTAGATATAACGTTCCAGTGTCTGGAAGGTTGGATGTTTGATCACTAGATATAATGTTCCAGTGTCTGGAAAGATGGAATGTTTGATCACTAGATATAATGTTCCAGTGTCTGGAAGGTTGGATGTTTGGTCACTAGATATAATGTTCCAGTGTCTGGAAGGTTGGATGTTTGGTCACTAGATATAATGTTCCAGTGCCTGGAAGGTTGGATGTTTGGTCACTAGATATAATGTTCCAGTGTCTGGAAGGATGGATGTTTGGTCACTAGATATAATGTTCCAGTGTCTGGAAGAATGGATATTTGGTCACTAGATATAACGTTCCAATGTCTGGAAGGTTGGATGTTTGGCCACTAGATATAATGTTCCAGTGTCTGGAAGGTTGGATGTTTGGTCACTAGATATAATGTTCCAGTGTCTGGAAGGTTGGATGTTTGGTCACTAGATATAATGTTCCAGTGTCTGGAAGGATGGATGTTTGGTCACTAAATATAATGTTCCAGTGTCTGGAAGATTGGATATTTGGTCACTAGATATAACGTTCCAGTGTCTGGAAGGTTGGATGTTTGATCACTAGATATAATGTTCCAGTGTCTGGAAAGATGGAATGTTTGATCACTAGATATAATGTTCCAGTGTCTGGAAGGTTGGATGTTTGGTCACTAGATATAATGTTCCAGTGTCTGGAAGGTTGGATGTTTGGTCACTAGATATAATGTTCCAGTGTCTGGAAGGTTGGATGTTTGGTCACTAGATATAATGTTCCAGTGTCTGGAAGGTTGAATGTTTGGTCACTAGATGTAATGTTCCAGTGCCTGGAAGGTTGGATGTTTGGTCACTAGATATAATGTTCCAGTGTCTGGAAGGTTGGATGTTTGGTCACTAGATATAATGTTCCAGTGTCTGGAAGGTTGGATGTTTGGTCACTAGATATAATGTTCCAGTGTCTGGAAGGTTGGATGTTTGGTCACTAGATATAATGTTCCAGTGTATGACCCAGTCTCTGTCACACACTTAACATTTTATGTCACTTACATCTCCATACAGCTCGTACTAGCAAAGATACTTGTAGCCTAGGCTTAGTCTAGTAGTAACAACAACACTGCCAGAGATACTGATAGTCTAAACTTAGTCTAGCAGTAACAGCGTCTTGCAATCTACTGGCCTTTGTGATAAATGGTTTTGAAAACCGACAAGTTGAAGATTGATACACTTATGCAACATATGGGAATCTCATTCTTCAACTTGTCGGTTTTCAAAACCATTTGTCACATCTGTCAGACACTGCAACATCATGGGATCTTGATACAAAATATTCTTCAACACTTGTCCAACCTTTGGACGAAGACCTACACACACTAGTGGATGGTTCCACTGTTGAAGCTTTTGTTTAAAAAATCAAAATTATACTCAACATTGTCTTGTTGAACCAGTTCATCAAGTTCATCACGGTCCTGGAGGTCTATGTCAGAAGGAATCCACAAAAGCTTTTCTGCAATCTTTTTCTTAATTTGTGTGTATCTGAGCCTAGCTTCATAATTAAGCACGATAAATTGAGGTCTCAAGCTCTTTAGAGCAAGTAATGAAAAAAGAGATTTAGGTACAGTTACACTGTACGGATGAAGAATCCAGCTCCCACCATTCCTTGCGACGGACGACCAACTCGGATTTAGCGCTCCACATAAACAAATTAAATTATATTTTGTCCCACTCCGTTTTTGGTTTTCTTTGCCCGTCCCCCAGTTGTCATAACCTTGGCACTTGCTGTGGTTGAACTTCAATAACCCCGTGTCAGACATATCTTGTAACTTGTCCAGGTCAGTTCGTAGACATTCCTCGCTCTCTTATGTTATTGTTCTCGTTACTTTCACATCTACGAACAAGGAAACATCAGACTATTTCGGTACGTTCACGCACGCCAGAAACAGAACTGACCTCAGTGCTATATGTATTTCTCTCCCTCTCTCTCTCTAGGTGGAAAGAATGGTTGTATAATGTAGTGATATATTATGTATGAGCAAGTCAAGGCATGTCAGTTTCAGTCTGTAATATTTCCTGAGTGAGTCAGAGTGAAAAAACGACTTAAGGAATAAAAAAAAAAAAACACGTAAAAATATCAAAACATGTTTCTTTCCTGCTAGTATAATTCTATATTGTTTTATTCTCCTATGAATATATTTCATGTTATACTATCCTAGTATAACAGGCTTTATATCTTATTCTCTTAGCAATATATTTCACATCCTGACACCTACAATTTTTGTGAAGAAATTACGTTTGTACTCATATTATTGGTCAGAACAGAGTGGCTGTGTATGCTGCTGCTCTGACCTGACGTTTCCAGTATTTTATTGTACTTGTGTATTTGGTTTTCCAGGGGTTGAGACATAGCTCCTGGGCCTGCTTCTTAGGTCCTATCAACCTGTTTCACTAATTCCTGAAGACTGAGGAGTGTATATTTAGTTATTATATTTCTTTCTTTTGTCTTCTTCACGTGTGTCGAATTTCCTTTTTAAGTTAGTCGAAGGGAGGGAATGAGGGAGAAGATTCAGTCGACCGTATCCGGTTGACATGTCTCCGTGTTGGGGAAATGTGGCCATGTAGGCGTCGTGAGACGGTAGACTGACTTCAGACACGCTGTTGGTATGTTGATTAAAAGCCGTGTGTGTGTGTGTGCGTGTTGGTGGTAGTTCGTTCAGGCGTGAAGTGTGTCGTGTGGTGGGGCCTTGGCGGAAACCTGATGAAAATGTGATGTCAGGCCAGATACGGAGGTGTCCGCGCCAGCTGCTGCCGCCTCTAGCTCACGCTTGAGGCCCAACTTAAGGAAGAACGAGTCAAGTGGAGACGCACCTCTGTGAATCATTGTAAGTGCTGCTTTAAGCCCTCCGAGCCACCCTGGTTAGTGTAAACAATACCAGACTATTGAAACTCTGCCTGGGACACTAGCAACTCTTGAAGCCGTCAGTGATGCCGTCATAAAGTCGCGGAAACCACCGCCAACTTTGTATATCCCTGAAGCTATCACCAGCCTCTGAAACCAAGGGCGCCTCCAAGATGAAGCTTCGCTACGACTTCGACACGACGCAAAAGTCATACCGGACTTTTCCGCAGAAGGTGGCTCACTCGACGGGTCTGGCGGACCGCTGGAGCATTCTCCGGTGGTGTTGTCCTTTTTGCCTGGAGAAGCCTCGATCACGATCTCGCAAGTCTAGCGGCGTCCCGGTCATCCGCATTACCAGGCCCCGGAGTCCAGACTCTGACCCTGACAGTGAGGATGAGTCGGAGGAGAGGCGGAGTGCCAGCGTCGGGAGCAGCGGGGGTGTCAGAACCCAGGATACGGTCAAGTGCCACAGGGTAAGCAAGCGGGACAACGACAGCACTGACCTGCTCAGCCACGACAGCAATGAAGGCTCTGAGGAATTTGGTGTCAATGAGGAAGAAAACGTACTGAGGGGTTGCGACTCTGATTCCATTGTGAGTAAGGAGTCGGTGCGAAGTAAAGAGTCTGTCCTTAGTAAGAGTTCGGTCAAGAGTAAGTCCTCCATCACAGAGTCTGTCAAGAGTAAGAGCTTTGGGAAGGCTAAAATCAGCAAAGACTCGCGGACAAAGAGCAAAGAGTCCTTCAAGAACAGTCACGACTCCCTCAGGGACAAAGAGGCCGTCAAAGACAAGTCGCGCTCCTCCGTGAGGAAGATTTTCAAGCACCTCAAACGTGGCTCCTCGGCAGTGACCTCCCCGTCAGGCAGCGTCAAAGGAGACAAGCACACCTCCCCGTCAGGTAATGTCAGGGGAGACAAGCACACCTCCGTCAAGCATACCTCCATCAAATCATCGTCAGTAGCAGACTCAGACAAGATGGACATTGCGATGGCAAAGACTTCTACCTCGAGGATCCGAGGAGGAGCCCACGAACAGAAGACTCGCAAGTCCATGACACTGGATGGTCGAGGACGAGGAGTGGAGACCCTGGTGGCTGCCAAGAGTCAAGTGGAGGGTGAGGGAATTGGTGACAGGGGTAGCAGGTGGTCTACCCTAGATGGACGAAACTCCAGAAGGGATGTAACGGAGGCTGCAGATGCCGCCACACCTGAGGAGAAGAGTGGAGTGAGCCTCTACCAGTCGACAGTAGCTTGGGAAGTGAGGAAAGTAAAAGAGGAGGAAGAGAGAGGTGGCGCGCACTAGAGACCCAAGAAAAGGAAATTGCAATGAGGAAATGAAGGATGACAGGGATTCTACTAATACTGCAGCACTGGAGGGTGAGGGAGAGATCTCCACACCAACCTCACCTGAAGACGTCATGGAAGAAGTCACCTTCAAATCTCGTGAAAAGCTGGAAACGGAGACTTTGGAGAGGATCAAAGAGAAGGAAGAGGGAATGTGGCAGGTGAGGGTGGCAGGAGTGGCTGGGTTTAAGTCCTGTCCACCGGAAACACTGCAAAAGGACAAGGGTGACACCTCGTCCAGCGACCACCAGTATCACCTGGCGGACAACACAACAGGTAAGAGGATTTCAACGTCATACTCCTTGCATTACATCATTGCTTCTATTTATTACGTCATTGTGCCTATTACGTCACTTATGATTACTTAACCTAACCTACTTAATTTTCCTACCTTCTTCTTTATCATCTAACTTGGAACAGAATTCTTCCTCAGTAAGTCATGCGTGTCGTAAGAGGCGACTAAAATGCCGGGAGCAAGGGGCTAGTAACCCCTTCTTCTGTATATATTACTAAATGTAAAAGGAGAAACTGTTTTTTTTTCCTTTTGGGACACCTGCTTCGCTGGGATACGGCCGGTGTGTTGAAAGAAATATATATATATATATATATATATATATATATATATAATATATATATATATATATATATATATATATATATATATATATATAATATATATAATATATATATATATATAGTTGTGTATCTTTATACGTATATGCTTCTAAACTGTTGTGTTCTGAGCACCTCTGCAAAAACAGTGATTATATGTTAGTGAGGTGAAAGTGTTGAATGATGATGAAAGTATTTTCTTTTGGGGAATTTTCTTTCTTTTTGGGTCACCCTGCCTCGGTGGGAGACGGCCGACTTGTTGAAAAAATAAAAAAATATATATATATATATTATTGTACACACGCACGAGTGGTATTGATCAATAACAACACTGCAATAACCAAGGAGTCGAACCCATGTTGCTTCGGCCCGCCTCGTGGTGAGCGAATACTCATGACGCTTTAGACCACTAGACCACACAATCCTTAAGAATGGCGCATCCAGCTAAGCTAGATGTTGTACCCGCCATCCAAGGACATACGGTGGTGTTGACGCCTCTAAGCTAATTTCATTCTACTCCCTGTTTGGTGTACTAGCTCAACAAGCAGTATTAGCTTAGAGGTGTCCACACCACCGTATGTCCTTCGATGGCGGGCACAACATCTAGCTTGGCTGGATGCGCCATTCTTAAGGATTGTGTGGTCTAGTGGTCTAAAGCGTCATGTGTATTCGCTCACCATGAGGCGGGCCGAAGCAACATGGGTTCGACTCCTTGGCTAGTGCAGTATCGTTATTGATATATATATATATATATATATATATATATATATATATATATATATATATATATATATATATATATATATATATATATAATATATATATATATACACACACATAGTCATGCGTTGTTAGGTGATTTCGTTGTTGTACGAACGTCACAGAGTGTGTGAGGCTGGCGGTGTAACACGTCACAGTGTGAGGCTGCCGGTGTAACACGTCACAGAGTGTGTGAGGCTGCCGGTGTAACACGTCACAGTGTGAGGCTGCCGGTGTAACACGTCAGTGTGAGGCTGCCGGTGTAACACGTCACAGAGTGTGTGAGGCTGCCGGTGTAACACGTCACAGTGTGAGGCTGCCGGTGTAACACGTCACAGTGTGAGGCTGCCAGTGTAACACGTCACAGTGTGAGGCTGCCGGTGTAACACGTCCACAGTGTGAGGCTGCTGGTGTAACACGTCACAGTGTGAGGCTGCCGGTGTAACACGTCACAGTGTGAGGCTGCCGGTGTAACACGTCACAGTGTGAGGCTGCCGGTGTAACACGTCACAGTGTGAGGCTGCCAGTGTAACACGTCACAGTGTGAGGCTGCCGGTGTAACACGTCACAGTGTGAGGCTGCCGGTGTAACACGTCACAGTGTGAGGCTGCCGGTGTAACACGTCACAGAGTGTGTTAGGCTGCCGGTGTAACACGTCACAGTGTGAGGCTGCCGGTGTAACACGTCACAGTGTGAGGCTGCCGGTGTAACACGTCACAGTGTGAGGCTGCCGGTGTAACACGTCACAGAGTGTGTGAGGCTGCCGGTGTAACACGTCACAGTGTGAGACTGCCGGTGTAACACGTCACAGAGTGTGTGAGGCTGCCGGTGTAACACGTCACAGTGTGAGGCTGCCGGTGTAACACGTCACAGTGTGAGGCTGCCGGTGTAACACGTCACAGTGTGAGGCTGCCGGTGTAACACGTCACAGTGTGAGGCTGCCGGTGTAACACGTCACAGTGTGAGGCTGCCGGTGTAACACGTCACAGTGTGAGGCTGCCGGTGTAACACGTCACAGTGTGAGGCTGCCGGTGTAACACGTCACAGTGTGAGGCTGCCGGTGTAACACGTCACAGTGTGAGGCTGCCGGTGTAACACGTCACAGTGTGAGGCTGCCGGTGTAACACGTCACAATATAGTTTAGTAAATACATACACCAGTAACATAGTTCCTTGTTATACATAATTGTATACATTATACTTTTATACATGGGACCACCGTCTTACATGGGACCACCGTCTTACATGGGACCACCGTCTTACATGCGGTCCGTTGTGTACCGAAACGTCGCTATGCGGCGCATGGCTGTACGTATATAGTTTGTGTACATTACGATTATGCAAAAACTTGTTAATATTCGTTATGGATCGTTATAGATGAGAGATGTCGTTAACCATCTGAACTTTTACACTGCTACTTACGTAACTTATTCTCTTGAGCGTAAGATCAACTATTGGATCCTCTGCTAGAGTGAAATAGAGACTTTGATCCTCTGTTTGATCCTCAGTTTTGGATTAAAAACAGACTTTCAGTTTCCATTTGAATGAAATTAAAGAATTGATCACTTATTTGCTGTGATGTGAAGGATTCGATCCCCTTCCTCCCCCTCTCCACACAAGGACTACTCCTCAGAAAGGAAACAAAGAGTTACTATCAAACAGGGAGTGTTGTGATGGGCCAATGTGACGAACAGAGCTCCACAAGGGTCATTACTTGGTCCAGCACTGTTTCTTGTGTATGTAAACCACGTGGCAAAAGAAATCGAGTCAGATGTGTCCCTGTGGGTAGCTTACGTGAAATTTATGAGGATACAAACAGGAGCAGACCAGAGGGAAATCTACAAAGATCTGGACAAGTGGCTGTTGGCATTTAACACCAGTAAATAATAAGATGTGAAAATTAAGGATGCGCAAAGAACTCCGGAAACAGAGAAGATGCTTGGGAGATAATTCTTCCTGAAAGAGAAGGATGTTATCATTGTATCTGAAGCGCACATCAACCAGATAACGGAGGCAGCAAAAGCAAGACTGGCAAATTTAAGGGTAAGTTTCAGGCACCTCAATAACGAAGCATTCACGGCATATCTCAGGAACATCTTGGAGTACGCAGCGCCAGTATAAAACCCACATTCGACAAATCATGCAGAGAAGCTGGAAAAGGTGTAAAGATTTGTTGCGAGACTAGTCTCAGAGTTGAGGGGTATGAGGAGAGACTAGTCTCAGAGTTGAGGGGTATGAGGAGAGGCTAGTCTCAGAGCTAAGGGGTATGAGGAGAGACAAGTCTCAGAGCTGAGTGAAATGAGGAGAGCCTAGTCTCAAAGCTGAGGAGAATGAGGAGAGACTAGTCTCTGAGCTGTGGGGTATGAGGAGATATTAGTCACAGAGCAGAGGGGTAAGAGGAGAGAATAGTCTCAGAGTTGAGGGGTATGAGGAGAGCCTAGTCTCAGAGTTGAGGGGTATGAGCAGAGACTAGTCTCAGAGCCGAGGGGAATGAGGAGAGACTAGTCTCAGAGCTGAGGGGAATGAGGAGAGACTAGTCTCAGAGATGAGGGGTATGATGATAAACTAGTCTCAGAGCTGAGACGTATGAAGAGAGCCTAGTCTCAAAGCTGAGGGGAATGAGGAGAGTCTAGTCTCAGAGCTGAGGGGTATGAGGAGAGACTAGTCTCAGAGGTGAGGGGTATGAGAGACTAGTCTCAGAGCTGAGGGGTAGGAGGAGAAACTAGTCTCAGAGCTGAGGGGTATGAGGAGAGCCTAGTCTCAAAGATGAGGGGAATGAGGAGAGACTAGTCTCAGAAATGAGGGGTATGAGGAGAGCCTAGTTTCAAAACTGAGGGGAATGAGGAGAGACTAGTCTCAGAGCTGAGGAGAGACCAGAGGAGTTAAACTTGACGACACTGAAAGAGAGAAGAGCCAGGAAAAGAAAGTATTACGACGTACAGGATGGGAAGTACAGTGTCTACACTATGAAGGAAGGAAGTACAGTGTCTACACTATGAAGGAGGGAAGTACAGTGTCTACACTATGAAGGAGGGAAGTACAGTGTCTACACTATGAAGGAGGGAAGTACAGTGTCTACACTATGAAGGAGGGAAGTACAGTGTCTACACTCTGAAGGAGGGAAGTTCAGTGTCTACACTCTGAAGGAGGGAAGTACAGTGTCTACACTCTGAAGGAGGGAAGTACAGTGTTTACACTCTGAAGGAGGGAAGTACAGTGTCTTCACTCTGAAGGAGGGAAGTACAGTGTCTACACTCTGAAGGAGGGAAGTACAGTGTCTACACTCTGAAGGAGGAAGTACAGTGTCTACACTCTGAAGGAGGGAAGAACAGTGTCTACACTCTGAAGGAGGGAAGTACAGTGTCTACACTCTGAAGGAGGGAAGTACAGTGTCTACACTATGAAGGAGGGAAGTACAGTGTCTACACTAAGAAGGAGGGAAGTACAGTGTCTACACTATGAAGGAGGGAAGTACAGTGTCTACACTCTGAAGGAGGGAAGTACAGTGTCTACACTCTGAAGGAGGGAAGTACAGTGTCTACACTCTGAAGGAGGGAAGTACAGTGTCTACACTCTGAAGGAGGGAAGTACAGTGTCTACACTATGAAGGAGGGAAGTACAGTGTCTACACTATGAAGGAGGGAAGTACAGTGTCTACACTATGAAGGAGGGAAGTACAGTGTCTACACTATGAAGGAGGGAAGAACAGTGTCTACACTATGAA